CTGGCAAGTTAAAAAAAAAACCCAACAGAAAACACCCCCCCACCAAAACAAACAAAAAAACCCCTGCAAACCCCAAACTAAAAACTAAAAACAAACAAAAAACACCCCCCACAACCAAAAAAAATCCCATGATTCTCCTTGAAAGTCAACCTCCATACGACGTACCCTCTTCTGCATTGTAGCAATAGTCTTAAGTCATAAATTAATTAGTCTTCCATCAAATAACTTAAAAAAAGAAGGAATTGTAGCAGACCAGTTTTGACTGGCTTAACGCCAGTTAGCAGCCAGTTCATCTTGAGTCCCAGTCACACTGTTCAAAAACTGAGCTAGGAAATCACACAAATGTTGAAAAAAACTCTTTACATCGATGAAGGATTGCTCCAGGTTGTGGGGGCCAGGGAGAGGGCAAACCTAGATGGGGCCATGGGTCCTATGAACAGTGAACAGGATATAGGTCACGACTTGGAGGTGCACTGCATCCAGGAGATGCCAGCCGTGGCTCGTATTGCACAGGTAAAAAGGAAGCTCCTCCCGACAGTCTGCCACCTGTGTTAGTGATCTCTGCACATTGGCAAGTTCACAAAAGTGAAAACATTGAATTCTGTCATGATGGAGAAACACAGGAAGATGCCGTAAAGGGAAAGGCACACACACCCTAGCTTCTTATCCAGTTTCCATTTGTTCATGTGGACACCAAAAACCTACAACAAACACAGAGTAAGCCACCACAGCAGGAACATTTTGAATAAAGTGGTAAATCCCCTCCTCAGCCACAGGAGCCAAAAGAGGGCTATCCCCTTACTGATGATGATTAGTTGGAAACAATCACAAACTGCAGCAAGTGAGCTGAAAACCACAGCTCCAGCAAATCAGAGCAGCAGTCACAGAAGCCACCTAACTTATATCAACTCATGTTAAGTCTCTGCAATKAATTTAATTTTGGCAAGAATAATCCGATTTAATTCAATCAGAAATGGATTTACGGAACAGGTTTTTTTTAACTCAAAATAGTTCACATGTTCCTGTGTGTAGCACAGGACTCCCTCCATGTCTCAAGATTTGGAAGATGTCACATCATTTCTCTTCTATCATTTTTGGGAAAGGTCAGGGAACACAAAGCACTGATTTCATAGAAACATTGTCAGGCACGTTTTTTTCTGGACTGTGCTGTATTTCAGAAGGATCCTACAGAGGGACAAGTAACCTGCACAGCATTTTGTMTGCTTGTCTCATAGGAGAATGGATCTCATCATGCATCAAAGGACCTGCTCCAGCTCTAGCATAGAAATAACTAATGACTATTAATGTATCTCCCAGGCTCCTCTCATGAAAAACATACAGTAGGAGTGTCATACCATGGGAGTGATAGCTCCTGCAAAGAGCAGGATCGAGGTCYTGGGAAGCTTTCAAGAGCAGGGAGAACCCCTATCCCTTAATAACAGACTTTCCAACTGCTGTTTCAGCTGGAGGTGAGAAAGGAGCAGGTGAAGAAAATGTTTATAAAAATCCCTCTTTTGGAAAAGAAGAACAAAAGACTATATACATACTGTGACAAAAACTGATGCCAGCAGGAGACCAACGGAATAGATAAGTCCTCTGCTGTTTAACCGAATCTGTAAAAAAAGGAAGTTTATCAAACCATCTCACAATTTCAAACAACAATATTCCTCTCTGCTTGTATTTCCATAATCCTAAACTGCTGAGTTGCTAAACAGTGACTTGCAAGCTGTAACTGCTGAGTCAGACCATTACATCACAGATTATTTTCCCTATTCCTTATTTTGCCAAAGAAGAAGTGTTGTCAGAGAAGCATCYTTAGGACCTGACAACACTTCCCAGTGTTCCACTTCCATAAGAGCTTTGCCATCCCTTGTACTATTACATCATGACATTTTCTTTTTGACACCTAACTCCTATATGAGTCCTGTGAAAACAAACAGGGGAAAAGAAATTTCACATTCAGTCACCAATTAATGCTTTACAGKGGGGGAAAATAAACAAGGACACACACAAGCACCTAATTTCTTCCYTACTCTTGCCTTACTTCTTTCTTACTCTTCCTCCTCTTGGTGAAGGGAACAAGTCAGTAATCTCAAAACCAGAACCTCATGGGCCAAAAAATTATTTGTATCAGAGCACCATGGTACAGTAACACAGACTAGACATGATTTAGCACTGAGGCAGATCAGACAAAGAGACAACTTACTGCCTTCAGGGCTGTGTAAGGTACCTGTCTCCATGGCAGAGTTACAGTCCCTGTACCAGAGAAGAACTGAAACGCAGATCCAAAAAGCTGAGAAGCCTCTTAACTGTTCAATTGTAGAGGCTTTAGAGTCTAACCAAAGTAACTCACCTGCATCTTTAAGACCCAAATACTTTTTAAAACACCATTTTTGTGAGATACAAACCTAACATTATAAAGGAAGGCTACATARTAAAGCCATCACCCCAGTCCTGTTCCTCATCTAGGACCACATTTCTCCTTGGTTTCCCATCCTTCTCTTGGAGAACCTAATCATCATCCTTTTGGGTATTTTTTTATGACCTTCTCAAACAGCATCACTTGGGCAGCATTGTCAGGGGACCACTCAGTGGAATCTCTCAAGGCACTTCTGCAGGAGCTACTGTGTGGAGAGGATGTCCTCCCAGGGAAGGCTGACTTCTCAGTGCTCCCATCCTTCTAGTTAGACTATAAAGAATTCCATTTGCARGAGAAGTGGGTATTGCTAATGTGACAAGCAGCACTACAGTTTTAAGAATGCAAAGGTGCTGAGACACTTGCATCATTTTGCATCACAATCAGCAAAAATTTTTCACYCCTATATTGCTCCTAAATCCAGAGTAATGATTTAGCTCCATCCCCCCGGGACCACTGTAGAGTCAGAAAAAACGACTCCTTCGGACACTTTGATACTCTGAGCTTGCATTTAACTCCATACACACAGGATCCCCTTTGCCAATCCATGCTGCCTGAGCTTTGCTGCTCCCTTCAAACATGTTAAAATGCCAGCTCACACAAATGGCCTGTTTTCTTTCCCTACAGATTACTGACATAATTAAAAAAGGCTATAACCATGATGGCCATTTTATCTAAAAGGTATTTCAGGATTTCTTTAAGATATATACTGTAAGGGKACGGGTGGACAGCAGAATAATTATATTCCTATGACCATTACATTTCGAATACAATATTCTCACCAGACTGCTTGAAGAAATGAAGGATTTGGATTGCCTCAGGATGGGAAGACCAATTTTGGGACTGTTTACATAACTGAAGATGAAAAACGTCATGATCCCAGTGCTAATGTAAACTGCAGAGATGAACCAGCCTGCTGTGCTTCAGACATTCCTGTGCACCCACTCCTCCTCTCCTGCTTCCACCCTTCATAATGGTCCATACATAACAACTAACCTGCATTTCCATCTTACTTATTATATAAGTGCAAAAAAGCCCTACACTAACCCTGTGTAACTAAAATGCAAGTTTAAAGCCACCTTCCCTRCTATCCTAAATGAACAGCAGCTGACTAGGAAAGAGAGATACTATTTTACAATAAATTCCTGTCTGGATTTTGGTCAGGAATTTTGTTTGACCAGTGCCARTATCTGTAAAAACTGCCAGTAAGAAATGTATCAACTGGAAAGGGTTCTACAGGAAAAGGAAGCAAATGAAGAAGATGGAATTACTTTAGCATGGAAAATGTCTGAATTTAACCTAAAGTGCAGACACTGCTTCTCAGTTACAACTTCAGCCTCCATAAAACCAGCAGACCATTCCAAAGGCCTCTGTGTCTAATTTACYGAGGATAGTGCTTCCAAAGAGAGATGTTTGGGGCTGCTTTCTTCAGACTATGTGCAAGACTCTTAGTTGAGGTCATTTAGGGGAATAAAAGCTGCTATTAGGGATTATTCAAAAGCAGAAAATACATGCTAATTATTTACAGCACCTTTATCAATRTAACAGCCATACATGTCATGCTGTTCCTATGTGAGAAAAGCAAACGTAGCAACCCYTTCTGCAGTGTGAACACCAAGTTCCCCTTGCACGGTCACTGCACCAAAACACTGGAGTTTCACTCAAGGTTAACCTTTCTCAACTTGGGTTTAACTAGCAACATTCCTGGCCTGGTACCTAGCCCAGGTCCCACTGCTGGACAAAGCAAAGTGCTATTAATTAACCTAAATAACAAGAACTCTCCTGGTAGCACTGACACATTTTTTAATGTGGCATCTATCTACTTCAGAAAGTGACCCTACACAACCATGAGTRGTTTTTATACAGCACTGCTGAGTGGTTTTGAGAGACTGAAATCCAAAGTGGGCAGAATCCCCATGGTTCACTTATGCCTTGCTCTTCTCACTGCACTCCTCTGTCTACCTGAAGGATCCTTCCATTATCCCTGTGTGCCAAAGGCTACAGAGGTGAGCCTGACCCTGTGTGCCAGGTGAGTGATGCCTCATGTGCACATGCCCTGCCCAAGCCCCTGCAYTGCTCCCTGCAAGATAAATCCACGGGAATGCTCGTGTGCACAGGGTAACCCCACAGCACTGCAAGTGCAGTTCATTTGMTGCTGGTGCAGCCAGCACCCATCTATAGAATCCATCTCCCAGTCATCCCAAGGCAAATGGGCTTTGGGAACAGGCTTGCATCAATGTCCATTTGTTCCAACTGTCTTTCTKTTGTTTTCTATTTGCTTCTTGATTGATTTATAGCCCGTTTCATATGTTGTTTCTGTCCTTTTCTGTCCCTTTCCTGCCTGCTCTGTGGCAGGGAGGTGCCATGCATGTATCACCGCCTGAGCCTCAGCAGAAACATTTGGAATTCTTCACAGTTTTTCAAGTACTTTGAGCTCACCAGCAAAGGTTTTTTACTCAAACACTTGCACTTTTTSATCCAGAAATTGCAGCTGTGATCTGTATCTAATTCAGCCAAATGAGCTTCCTGACAAACCCTTTCTTTYCCTGCATTTGACTTTGGACTATCCACTAATTTTTCATGTATTTCCCATTAGTCTACAGCTCTGGAAATACAGATTTAACTGATGAACTATTCCCCTCCTCTGATAACCACCACAGCCTACCCTATTTCTTATCATGACTTTTAACCATGAGCACAGAAGCTCACAAGGTTCTGAAATTTGAAACAAAAGCTTATGAAAAATATGTCCTTGATCTGTAAAATTAGGGCAGAAATCAGTCAATCATCTCTCTCATGAGATGAGTGGCATTTCCTGCAAGAGGCAATGAAATACATTTCCTTGGGATATGTGACAATGTGGAAGTTCAGGGAAAACAAGGGAAGCAAAACATTCAMAACTYACAGTAAGGGAGGAGATAATTTCAAGTTTTGGCAAAGGCCAGAAAAGAAATCTCAGCTGGAGTGTTAATTATATAAGAAAAAGCCCAGTCCCCTGCTCATTTAAGAATGGGAAATGCCTCTTCCCCAGGAGAAAACTGTCTGCAGATGAAGCACTCCCTCACACTGCAAGGAGGAAAAAGCAATATTCCCAGAGTCTCCTTTGAGGACTGGCTTGTGTCTTAGGGGCTAAAGCAAGGCAGAAGAATGCTGTTCTGGCTGATCATGCATGGAAGGTTTGCGTGTTGACAGCCTTCTCTGTCAGGGTTTCAGGGAGGTGACCTCCCCGCTGCTTGTGCAGCAAATGCAAAGAGGCTGCCACCAGCTCCAGCCATTCCCAATTACTGTGGCAACCAAGGCTGAAGCTAAACAGCAGAGGGAAAACAATGGAAATAAAAGTTATTCTATTCTTAAGTTCTTTTCTGGCAGCTGCTTAAGGGAAAACAAGGAGCTATTGCCAAAACCCAGACTGGTTTTGCTTCAGGGCCGAAATATGACAGAAATTATCCCAGTAAGGAATTTTAGAAGGGCTATGCTTTGTTTCCAGTCCCTCAGCTGAAAAAGCTGCAGGTCTTCTGTATGTCTGGGGATCCTTCTCCTTCAGTGTCTATACCTGGCAGTGGAAATTCAGTCTAAATCCTGCATTCCCGAGGTCTYGCCATGAGACAGCGGTCTCAGCAAACTGGAACTTCAAACACGTGCTGCATTCCTGAATGTTTAAATGGAATTTCCTTCTTATACCTCTTTTCAGACTTCTCAGAAATCGTCCTTGTTTTGCTCCATATCACAAAATACACTTTGTAGAAGGTGCATATCTGGAGTGCTGCACATGGTCACTCAGGGTATCTTGCAAGAGATGCAGAARCTATGGCTGGAGAGAAATCCCGTAATGCTAGGAGATTTGACGGRAACACTTTTACTCTACTACAGTATAATTATCCAAATAATCTCTGCCATGAAGCCAGCTTTGTCCTAATGTACCATTCACCCTAGTGCCTTGGAATTAAACCACTGAAAATCARCTGGTCAGTGAGGAGAACAAGAGTGATGCCCCCTATCTCCACATGTGCTTTGCAAGCATTTGCTTCCCTCAGGATTCTCTGATGCCTAACAACGATTGTACTGGGATTAGTCCTGCTCTCTCCAGCTGCTTGTTTGCATGGAAGGAATGTCATGTCTCTAAAACTTCTAAATGTACTGTCAAATTTTGCTGAAAATGGTTGAAGTTATCAGGCAGRAGAGCAATGGATTTACACTCCCAAATGTGATTACACTCCCAAATGCTGACGTGACCAAATGAACCTAGCTGTTTATCCTTAGGCTAAAATTCTTGTTCTCTACAATACTCTTGCATAACATCTGGTTTACATGCAAAAAAAAAAATATTCCAGAGGGAAGCAACTGGATAGAAGATATGGAGCAAACATCCTTGCACTCCACATATGCCAGCTGTACTGGGGAAGGATGGCTACTGGACTAGAGAGTCAGCAATGTGTCCAGGACTCAGTGCTGAAAGAGAGGAGAAAGTGAACTCTATCAAAAGATTCTCAAGGTCCASAGGGATGCTGCTTTTCCTTCAAAAGCCTTGCTGACCTTCCAGATTCTGTACATAASAGAAGGCCAGAGCTGCTGCAGGAGGGTGGACAAGTGAGCAGCAGAGATGGAAGCTCCAGYGGGAAGCACAGAAGAAGGCAGTGTTAGTACCTAGACATTAATGAGTGCTCAGAAGCAAGGACCCTTAAAATAATAAACATGTAGTTAGGTTAGAGACTTGGCATTGTGAAAACAAGGGATTGGATGTGGAAAGTTTGATCCTGACTAGATCTGCCTTTTGATGGGAAAAGGGTAGTTGGCTTGGCCCAAGCCAGGAATTCTGGAACGGACACCTGACCTGAAGGCAAAGGTGAGGCACTTGCAGTATTCCCACAGCCCAGAGGACAGTGTTTCATTTAAAGCAGGAATACAGAAGGAAAACCTCCTCCTCTAAACCAGGTGACAGATGCTTCCAAGATGTAGCCTGAGAAGCATAGGATKGTTTTCCTTTCCTTTCTTGTAACAACGAAGGAAGAATAAAATAAATACTAAGCTGAAACATCTGCTGAYAATGGGCCTGGGGAAGGGGCAGTCAGAAGAGAGGCATTTCATCAAAATGTGGTTTAGCAACCCAGCACCAGGATGTGTCCCCAGAGATTCACAGCTTATTTCCAGCTCTGCATTCACCTACTGTGACTCCAGAAAGCTCATTTATCTCTCTTGACAGGTCCCCCTCTTGCTCTTTTCCTGACTCATTCTATTAGATCACAGAATTCCTTTTTCTCCCCTCAGACATTATCCTACAGTAAGCTTCTTTAAGCAATAAGTTTTGATTCCACATGAAGCCACCKCACTGAATGGCTAAGCAAGTGCTGAATGCCCGTGATCACAGGACACCAGRCTGATCCACACACGAGCACACAACACCAAGGCACATCAAGGTGGAAAAAGAGCAAATCTTCTCCTTTTCTGCATGGTAACATKCCAGAACTCTTTACACTGGCATTGACAGGGAGCAAAATTTGTTGCTTTGTTGACAGTGGATGAGTCAGGCAGACTGGGACAAGGAATTTACGTACCGATTTTATAGAGAATGATATCAGAGTTATACCACACTCTGGAGAAAGCCCTGAGCATTTAGAATCCAAGAAAAGTAAGGCTGGAAGGGAATTCCAGGAGGCTCTTCTGCATTAAAGTTTAACTTTAAAAACACAGCTTCCACAAAATTTATCACAGCTTGTTCATTAAAATATGTTTACTTTCAGCAGAAGCTTAACTTTGCTACAGTCCACTTGCATTAAACATTCTWGGGAGGCAGTCATGGTTTTGGATCAACCCGCAACAGTTATCAAGATCAAGCAAACCCTTCTTCTCTTCTACACATCTCTCCTTCCCTCTGCATGTAAGTCAGGGGCATCAAGACCACTTTGAGGAGTTCCCCTTTTGGAGGAGATACTACAAAGACACATTTGGGTCCTGCCAAAAACCAAAGGAGTACTAAATCCTGTACTATTAGCTCAGAAATTACCTAGTACTTCTGACTCACAGTGATATTTTGTGGACAACCAGGCTGGCCTGAGCCCACAAGCCCCACTGAAGTTAGCAGGGCCTGTCCATGCAAGCAGCACAAGGCTCAGCCTGATGGCCCTTAGGAACTGGAGCTTTCCACCTCCTGCCCCCTCTGACCTGTGCCAGGGACATTGGCCACACTCCTTAAATAACAATCAGCATCTTGGAGTTCTAGGCACTGTGTCACCAAGATACACCTGACCCAGCTAATGCCACCTTTTGCTGGCAACTTAGTAATACTTCAGTAATTAATTACTAGTAACAGGGGGGTGAAAGAGGCACTTGCTTTGTTTTAAAGACCAATTACCCAAGGATTTGCAGAGAAATCCAGGAACTCCAAGTGAAAAGTGAGGAAACTCTTTGCTAACTGTGGGGCTGTTTCCAAGACTGCCTTTTCCAACCATGTGATCACACTGCACAATGGACATTTTGGGTGTGCAAAACAGTAGTGATATTGTTATGCCTCCATGAAAGCTGGCTGCTTCTGTTCAGCCATTCTTTTKCATCCTTTTCCACAAAAATATAGATGAACTACAGACAAGCTCATCATTAAAGAAATGGATTTTATTCCTACAGCACTGCTTCCTTTTGCCACTCCTATATTCAAGAAGAGGAAAGATCTGAGGAACTAAAGGCTGGTCAGCCTGACCTTCATCCCTGGAAAGACGAAGGAGCRCATAATCTTGGGAACCACTTCTAAATACATAAAGGATGAGAYGTGTAGATTTATGGAGGGGAAATCCTGTTGACCCAGCCTGACAGCCTTGCATGACAAGGGGGACTTGCTGGATGAGGGGMGAGCAACAGGCATTGTTTGTGTTGACTTTAGCAAGGCTTTTGGCATTCTTTCAAACATCCTCAGGGACAAACAGAGGAAGAGCAGACAAGATAAGTGGACAGTGGAATGGCCTGATAACCAGATGTGCTCCAAGTCCAGCTGGAGGCCAGTCACTAGGGCCTTATCCCAGGGGTCAGTACTGTTTAGTGGCTTTTTTAATGAATTGAATGATGGGAAGAGAGCACCCTGAGCAAGTTCACAGCCCACACAAAACCAAGGAGGGTGGCTGATGCTCCAGAGGGCTGTGCTGCCATACAGAAGGACCTGGACAGGCTGCAAAAATGTGCGGGAAGCAAACTCATTAACATCAACGAAGGGAAATGAAATGAAAAGTCCTGCATTAGGGGATGAACAGCTCCACATATCAGCATGGGGCTGACCAGCTGGAAAGCAGCTYGCCTGAGAAAGACATGCTGATCCTGATGGACATCAAGATGAAGTCAACAATGCACCCCTGTGGCATAGAGCACCAACGGCATCCTGGACTACATCAGGACAAGTGTTGCCAGAARGGAGAGGAAGATGATWMTTCTCTGCTCAAYACTGGTRAAATACACCYGGAGTGCTTGGTCCARTTCTGGGCTCCTCAGTACAAGGAAGATATGGACTGTTGAAGCAAGTCCAGTGAAGGCCTACAAGGATGATTTAAGGAATGGCAGCATCTGACATACAGAGCAGCTGAAAGAGCTGTGACTGTTAAGCCTGGAGAAGGGAAGATCYARGGGGATCTTAGCAATGTGMATAAATACCTGAYGGGAGATGACAGAGAAGGTGCAGCCAGACTCGCCTGAGTGATATCCATTGAAAAGACATGAGGAACCACACAATTTTAAATACAGAAATTCCATTTAAATATAAAAATGCTTTTTGACTGTGAGAGTGGTTAAACAACAAAGCAGGCTGCTGAGAGTAGCTGTGCAGACTCCATCCCTGGAGGCSCTCAAGACCCAGATGGACATGGTCCCAAGCATTCTGCTCTAGATGACCCAACTTTGAGCAGAGAACTGGGGACTAGATAACCTCCAGAGGYACTTGCCAACCTCAACAATTCTGTGWTTCTCCTGTCTTTTCACTTTGCATTCATTCAGTGACTGTAATCAACAACCTTCCCTCTGTCCTACACTACTGTCTAAGTGGTGTCCAGGTAACAGCACAAGCCACAGCAACTTCCTTCYAGAAGTTTGTGGCATCTCCTGCTTTTCCTTCTCAGAAGGAACCTTGCAACAACTCTGGAGGCAGGAGGTGCCTCTTTTTTCACTTGGGAAGTAAAGGATAAGTTCRTTGGYATTGGGTATTTTTTTTWAAMMRGRAARSCCYKSGGAGTTTCCTGCTGATGGTCACACTCTGRAACACCCAATTATTTAACAGTTTCCTTCACCTTCCTCACGGTTTAGTAATGCCCACTTTTTCTAACCAAAAGCCCTACAGTTCTCAGCTATACATACATACATAGCTATACATAGCTATACTATACATTTCACTTATGTGTTTATCCCCTCTGCTTTATTAAAAACAGGGTAATTCGTATTTGGAATATATCCAAGAGTATGAAAATCCAGTGCACTCTAATGAGGTAGCTTATTTCAGCACAGATTTCTGTTTTCAAGGAAGAAATGGAAGTACTTGTCCTCAAAAGGATGGGAAATATCCKGGGACAATTAATTTCTAATTCTCCCATATCCTAACAAAGAAAACTACTTGTTTTTTCAAATAAAATCCACAGAATTTTTGACTTTTTTTTTTCTGAACAGATCTGGTTTATTAAAAAAAAAAAAGAGAGAGAAAAATATGAACAAATGTAGGACTTACATATGATCCATAATTCACTGCTAGGGTCTGCAAAGCCCATGGAAGGCCTAGGCCAATTAAAATATCAAAAACATTGCTTCCAATGGAGTTGGACACGGCCATATCCCCCATACCTGCAGGAATGGAAACCACATACACTCAAGACACATCTCAAAAAAAGTCTTGCAGTTTTTAATCTGAGTTAATGCAGGCAATCTCAACCAATTAGGGCCAAGAGTTATGGGAGATACCCTCACTCCCTCCCTTCCCTTTGCCCCCCCCCCATCACAGTAACCTAGCAGGCTAAAAGAGGCTTAATCCACCTTCCAGAATCATCTGAGAATTTCCCTCCACTAATCCTCTGCGGCTGAGGGAACCTGTCGTGCTGGTTTAGACCTGCCAGCCCTCTGGTGCCATGTTCAGGGGGACTTTTGATGCTTTACTGTGACCATGACACATGAGTTTCTGTACTGACTAATTGGAAGAGGTCTTTGAGTCATCTGTTCAGTAGCTGCTAATTTCAGTGAGGAGCCACTGATTTTGCTCCCCAAAGCAGCACTAACTACTTGCTTTTCCTCTTAGCACACCTGTTGCTGGGGCCACAACTATGGGGGAGTAGTTTTCCTTAAAAACAGTAGTACCTTCCAGTCTATGACTGTGAGGAAAACATGGAAAGTGATCTGAAAGATTCTTACTCCATGTAATAGTTCTATACCACTGAAATTAAAACTAAGAAAAATACTGTGATTCTTGGGGAAGGCCTGAAGTTGACAATACTGACAGAACTTGCTCCACACTACTGTTTAAGAACTTGTTAGCTGCTTTGCAATTGCAGCAGAATTTATTTCCTTCTTACTCCATGTTTTAAATTCCAGTCTTGTGAAAAAGGCTCTGTATATTTTCACGTTGAGGAAACATCTGTGCTACCTGAAGAGAAGGAGAATGTCAGGACACACTTCCACAGCAGGATGACATCCCTGCAATGACCTACCTTGCCTGGCCACGATAAGGCTTGCCATGCAGTCTGGCACACTGGTTCCTGCTGCCAAGAAAGTGATGCCCATGATCACATCCGGAATTCCTAGTGTGTACCCAATGATTGTCACCTAAGGAGACGAAATAAACTTTCAAGCTTTTTACAAGAATTAAGATCCAGGACCAACTTGGCCCAAATCCGCAAGATGCTGTAAGACAGAGGCTATCTCTCAGTGCAAACTCACACTTCCTTTAAATAGAAGCAGTGACAGGCAGAAGATAGCACTCACCTGCTATGTACCCTCCTTGGTTAGTTGTTTCATACATTTCATCCACAATTTTCCTGATACTAACCTGGAAAAGGGACTATAGGGTGGCTCACTACCCTGGGTAACTGTCTCCAGGTCTTGGATGAAATTTGTAAACATTATTGTATACAAATACTAGCTAACCAGATACAAAACTACCTCCTATGGTTGTAGTTGTGCAAGGAATTGACTGAATATCATGCTTTTGTTCATGCTGAGWTCAAAATGTTATCACTAACAAGTCTGTGTCTCTCAAGCTTGCTTGCTCCAAGAAAGTGAAAACTTGTTGTGGCCAGATTGTCACATGGCACCCCCCACACCACCCTGCAGGTCTGGGAGACATTCCACTGGTGCAGCTGTAATTGTTTTCCAGGTAAAGAATTTGGGTGAAATGACAGCCCTAAATCAAGTTCAAAGGCCATGGCTACTGGCCCCTGGTTTTCTTCTCTGAGTGGGACAGGTCCAAAAGAAATGGAAGCAAACCTAAGGTCTCTCATCTGAAAATTCAGGTGTGTAGAACTTCCTATACATTTCTCTAGACTGACAAACCCTCTCCTGTTGCTTCTCCCAGGCAGTGGTTTCTGGTTTAGTTGGTACATACCATCCACACCATCATGTAAGAAAAAGCTGCAATCCACAGGGTAGAAGAAACAAAGGTGACCATGAACCATTTTTCCAAGTGGGGTTTGTTACAGTTGGGCACTGTGAAGTACAGGACAAAACTCAAGGGCCATGTGAAAACCCACTTCAACATTTCTATCTTGCCAGCTGTAAAACAACAGAACAAAGGGAAACAATCACAATTCAAGTCTGCTGTTATTTTAGAATGTTATTATTTTGTTATCATGTGCAAGCAAGATGCCAGGGACACCTCAGCCTAACTGTTATGCCAACAGATAATGACATGCCATTCCTTGTTCAGAAGATTCTGATGTGATGGCAGATAGGAGGGCAGAGACAGGCAGTATGTGATGACAGATAGGAAGGCACAGGAGTATGATGGGCCTCCCTGAGAGTTTAAGTAACAGGTCAGAGYACACGTGCTCCCCTTCCCTAGTCAAGTTCTTACAGAAACCACATAAAATGCAAGTTCAAGAAAGAGATCTGATCCACCTTCAGTCACCTAATGGGAGGGTACAGAAAAGGTAGAGGYAGGCCCTTCACAAGGGAATTACAAATTCCCTGCACAATGGAACTACAAAATCCAACGGATTCAACTTCCAGTGAGGGAAATGCAGAGTAGATGCCACACTAAGCTATGCATTTTCTCTTTTTTTCCTATTGAGAAAGTGGACAAACATTGGAGCAGGTACCCCAAAGTCTGTGGGATGTCCATCCTTATAGATAATCAAAATTCAATTGAACACCTGCTCTGACAAGGGGTTGGAACCAGAGACCTCCAGAGATCCAYGCCAGCCTTTTACACACTATGAAAGTCCATAGGACATCTAAACTACTCTCTTTAAGGCTCAGGTTTTTCCTTACTTGAACTACAGAAATGCTGATTGAGTGAGATCTGAATAGGAGTTCCCGAAATTGTATTTGCCTGTAAAGGGCAGGACCAGTCTCTATAGTATTACAACTCATCTTCAACCCAGCAAACCCTGCCAACTATGGCAACTGTGACTCCAAGGCACAACAGGGACATGTTATAGTCACTCTGGTACCAGAGCCCTGATGTGGTAAGAGGGACTAAGCTAAAATGAGATCTCCATCCTTCAGGTGCAGGGCTCAGCATCCTAAGGCACAAGTCATGCAGCTGCTCTGACTTTCTAAGCCCTTCATACCATGCATGAAGCACTGTGGCAGTGCCTCGTGAACAGTAGGAAAGCAGAAGCACCCAGGACCACCTTCTGTCTCTGTCCCACGTTAGCCCTGTGCCCTGCCCACACTAGCACTGCACTGTCCCACTGAGGTAGGAGCACACCTCACCTCCCAGCAAAGGTATGTCCTAGTCATGAACACACCTGACCTGCAGTCAGGCTTCTTGCCAGCAGGCCAGCCAACTTCAGCCTCCTCTACAGTGAGCAGAGATCCATATCTCCAGAGAGTGAGCCATGTTTTGGGGGCAGAAACCAGCCTGTGGAGATTGCAGCATCTCCACTCTGACTGCAACAGCAGCATAGGGCCAACACAGGAGCTGCAGTTAGAGGTGTGCCCAATCCCAGAAGCCTGCACCCTGAGAGGTTCCTGCTGCTTCCCAGTTCCCCTCTTCCTTTCCATATGACCAGGAGACTCACTGCACAGCGAAGGCTGGTGGAAGCAGAGACAGTTCTATGTCTACATGCATCTGCAGTGCTCTCCATCATACACAAACATCACACAAAGCCAGGAGCTTCTTACTGGGTAGGTCAAAAGGTGTGTATGGCCCTTCATGGTCATCGTCATCATCATCTTCTTCCTCTTCCTCGTCGTTTTCGTTGTTCTCGTTATCCTCATTCTCGTTCTCATTCCCGGCCTCGGCCACATCCTCGTCCCGCCGCGTGCCRTTCACGCCCCGTTCGGCAGAGTTGCTGGGGCCTGTTCCATTCTCCACCACATGCTTGATGGGTATTTTGATTGCTACTTCTGACTCACCGTTGGTGTAAGTCCTGCTGTTGATCAGCCTCTGTCTCTGTAAATAAAGGCAAAGTCTTGCTGAAATATAGTTATTTTTTAAATTTGATTTTTTTTAAGTGAAAGGGAGGAACAGAGAAAGAAGTGTGTATAATTCTTTAAATAATTTGGCTTAAAAAAGCAAAAGGAATGATTTTCATCAGGTGTAACATGATTATTGCTTGCAGACCACTAGATAAATCTCACATGTACAACTTTTACAAAAGAAGGTCCAGTGGCTGTGTAATTGACTCCAGGAGTATTGCAAGACCAGTGACCTACTAAGAGCTGTCTCAGGGTAGTACCGTATTATTAAACAGATCAATGGAGGGGACACTTCCTGTGAGCAACAGCAACATGTAACAAAACTGGAAAACARCCTCTGCTAAAATCTCCACCTGGACAGAGAGCAAGGGATGATTTAGTCAAGTCATTGTCAGAAGGATAAAATCTGGGAGACTGCTATTAGGGATCCAGAAGAAATATCAGAGTTGCATTTCAACCCAAACACTGCTACAGGCAAAGGCAAATTCAAAAGGAGAAGAGCAGGTGGGGGAGATAAAAGACACACCTCATTGATTAACATGCGGCTGGCCATGGAGAGACGTGTTTTGGGAGGGAAATGGCTGGTTATCATGATCCGGAGCCCAGCCTCGGAAAATGAAAGCTGGTGTGGGTAGGCAGAGAGCAGCTCATCAACCATGATCACTGAGGCTTTACGGTGGAAATTTCCTGCAGCCAAGGAACAAAAAGAAATTGAGGTCTCCTTCCAGCAGTCTCTCCCTCTGCTCTGTGTGATTCTCAGAAGAATAAACCCATGGGTTCCAGAAGCTCTTTGTAAGAACCATTCCTTCAGCTATACCACTCAAAATAGGCCTCATCTTCTTTCAATTTCTGCCTTCTACAGACCTGACATTCCTATTTAAAAAAAAACCCATCAACATGGTATCACTCATGCTCCTTACAGAGAGCTACATCTGCTCTGCACTGTTCATCACAGGCCTGCATTAAGCAGACCACTGCTTCAACAGCAGTTATCCCATCAAGGCAGTCAATTCCAGTTGTTACCTGCACTTCTGTGAGGATATTGTCATCATCCACCATTAAGTTGCTCTTACCAGGGTAAGAAGGTTCTTACACCCTGGGATTGCAGCTTGTGGCTGGGAAGCGCCACCAAACCCAGCAGCAAGTGCACATGCCAAAGGAATCACAGTGTGGGAGCAAAAGAACAAGGAGCGAGAGGCAGATGCCAGAGTTGTGCTCCACGTGGGGCAAGTGCTGATGCCCATTGCCTCTGGGGTTGATCCTTCCAGTACCTGGATGCCACATGGGGCTGTGAACCCTGTACCAGGGCTGGAACTTGCCAGAAGGGAAACCTGAGGCCTTACCCAACACATTTCTGCACTGGTTTATTAAAACCAGTGTTTTTATACTAAAAAATATGTTGTGGCTTTACTACTTTTAACCACCATTAGTCTTTATAAAAGACTATTTCCTCGGCCTTCGTGTCACTTTTTTCCCCTACTGAGGTTTTCATGGATCAAGGTAGATATGTGAGCTTCTCCATACTAAACAAAAAACAACCAAACCTAAACCAAAAATCAACCAGACAGCTTTTCCTGGTGAGTTTTTCCACATTCAACTTGTTGAATAGCACCTGGAAGGACTGCCCCAAACACAGAAAACTTTCTGTTTCAGACTTTTTGATCTTCTGTTCAGAAAAGGCCTCAGAAAACCAGCAGCATCTGAAACCCTCAGGCACCCCATTGCAACAGGTGCTGTCAGTGGCCCTGTGCCCATGGCTGGGAYACAAAGCAGCACCACTTGCCTCTCTGGGCCTCCTGTGGCCCAGTGCCAAAGAAACACAGGAACAATCTGCAAGAAGATGAAGCAATCCTTTTGTCTTCCTTCCTCAGCCAGTATGAGTAACAAGTGTCCAAATAAAAAAGTTACCAGCAGAGTATGCAAAGACACATTGTGGGGACTTTTGAACAGAATCCCACCATCAGAACTAACYCTGAGGCCACCAGCTAAAATTTGATGTGCAAGGCCAAAGTTTATGCTGAATTTTCCCAGTCTAACTTTCCTGGCAAAGARTATCTTGTCAGCAGCTTTGCTGAGGAGACCTCCAGGTGACAGAGAGCTGTCCCCATAAAAATAGCTTCCCCAAATCAGAGTACACAGCACCCTTAACAGTCTTCCCTCTGCAACAGGCCTGTAAYTGAGAGCTGGCAGACTCCAATAATTTCCTATCAGCAAATAAACCTCACCACATTTCATGTTTAATTGCTTACTGTATACAGACTGCCTCTCAATCACCATTTGAGAGAAAAGAGACCTATTTTTGGTTGGTTGGGGTTTTTTTGATAGACTAGCAAAACAAAAGAGGCAGCCCATGTGTAATCAGAGACTAGGACTGATTTTGACAAGATGGAGTTTCTTCTCCAGCTAGGTCAGTGCCTCAGGAAATGGGAGGTGTTGTTCCTGAGGACAGGTACATATACATCCCAAGCAGATACTGCACATAATTGTTGACTGTTTTAAGACAAAAAAAAAAAATCTGCTGCAAATACACCTTAGCAYATCCTTGCAAATGCAGACATCGAACTACTTCTGCTGAGCTATGGGATGGGGGAATTTTTCTTAAGCTGAAGAAACACAACCATTTTTGTACATGATCATGACTAAAGTCAAACTAGAACAGATTGAACAGAACAGAAGTGGAATGCCCTTAAAGACCACTTACATGGAAAAGTTGTGCATGGTAAAGACAGCATGTACAGTAAGAGCACACTACCCAGACCCACACAGAGTCCCCATGCTCCCTTCACTGGGGGTAAAGTGTACACTAKTCTAAGTAGGGCCTTTTTTCTTGCTCCGTTGATGTCCCTTTGAAATGGAATTAAATTTAACTGGAGATGATGTAAATGAGTAACTTCAGTGAAGACTAACAGTGCCCATAGGAGGACTTAAAATGGCTGTAACAGGCTAGATAAGCAGACCCTGGGTTGAAGGAGTACTTACAGCCAAGCACTTGCCCAGTAGCAAGAATTAGCCACAAGAGGCCTCAGCCATCTCCTGTGGTACAGGATTTGGGAGCCAGGACCACGATASTGTGCCCGCCAGCTGGGAGGAGGGTTGCAAAAGGGCCACCTGCCCACTCTTATTTTGTGGCTTACAAGACAGCACCAGTTCCCTGTGTGTGACCAGAGACAGAACACTCAGAATGATGCAAGCGAGAGGGTGACTTACTGGAACAGTTACCTTTCTTTAGTAACACCACTGTGGCATCGCAGTTGCTGTTGTCATCCATTTCTGTGTTACTTGCTAAACCATTCACCATATTTGCAGAGTTTTTTGTCTTCCTCTCAAAGCACTGATGTATGGTTGAGTTGTACCTGAACAAACAAAACAAATTCAAGATGTACCTTTACTTCTAGACAGTCTTCCTTTCCTAGACTTGTATCCTGTGCAATACAACTAAGGAAGGGAAGAAAACTCCTCTGGTTTTAAGCAGTATCCCAGAGCCCTTGCTAAATTGTTGTAAAATGCAATCTCTGAAGCCAGAAGGCTCTGAAGGATAGAAGCAATGGATCTTGAATGACATGCATCTTTATCTATTACATGTGATGAATATTCTATTACATGTGATGAACATTTTGTATCATTAGTAATCTTTGCTTGTCATCATCCAAGTATATTTTTTATCACATAATCACACCTGAGTATCAGCATTGTTTTACCTGGGAGGACTCATCACAGAAACACAACACCCTATGCTGAATTCATCTCAGCTTTGGCAGGGCTGGGGAATAATCATTGTTCTTAGAGCATCCAGGAGCTGACACAAATATGAACCATGCATTCAAAGGCAAGGGTTGACTCCTATAAACACCTGACTGAGGTCCCTGACTAGGGTGACAACTTTCAAGCTCTACTCAACAGGTCTGAAAAGGCCTATACACACTACAATGCTGCTTTCAGAAAAAAAAAATTCAGACATTACAACTGTCTTGCCAGTCAGTTAATTGTCGCAAGGGTGCAGCTACCATCCTTGTCAAAATTTCTAATTATTACATGAATTCTGACTTGTGTTACCTTCWGCCAGCCTGAGTGTTTTGCTGTTCTCACTGAGGATTGCTCTAACAATAATTACTCTATTCATCATTTCAAAACAAATCTCTAGTCTTACTTGTGGAGACAAGACCACTGGTGTGCCTGGCAGCTGKTAGGTTTTGTTGAATGTTCCAGTTTAAATCTGGGTTTCCTTTCCACTGGCTTTTGAAAACAAGACAGGAGGAGGGGAAGCAAACAGATCAGACTAGTTTGACTAGCAGGAACTTGTGTGAAAGAAGTCACATAGGTCAGATGGTCAGAAAATCCCTGTCGACTATGCTGTAGTTTTATCACAGCTCTCCAGGCAAGAACTGCTGCAGAGCTTCACACCCATAAAAAGCAGACTGAAATCTCATTCCTGCTTATTGCTGAATAGGGATGCTAAACTGAAGTCAGAAGGGTGTTTTGGCTGGACTTTAGGATGGATCCATGTCTCTGCTCTGCCACAGATTTGCTGCATTAGCCTTGGTCTAGGCTAGGCAGGATGTGTAAAGCACAGATTCACAGGATAGTTTAAGTTGAAAAAATCCTTCACAGTCATCAAGTCCAATGTTAATTCAGCACTGTCAAACYCAGCAAGCCCTGTCCCTAAGCACCATATTCACACAACTTTTAAACCCTTTCAGGGACAGTGATTCTACCACTGGCCTGGACAGCCTGTTCTGTGCCTGACAACCCTTTTGGTGAAGAAATTTTCTATAATAACCAAGCTGAGCTTCCCTGACAGAACTTCTACTTCTTCTTCTTCTTCTTCTTGTGAGGGCTGGATGAGGCAAGGGGAGCAGGGAGTCTTAGAATTTAAACACATCGAGGGCACATTTGACTTACTTCATTATAAAGATGTAGATGACATACATCATCACTAAGACTAAGGACTCCCACCTGGAAACAAGAGCAACACAAAAACACTTTAGAGCAGGSCAAGGCATCAGCTGCTCCTATTCAACCATTCCCCCATGTGTCACACCACGAGTGTGCAGAAAGGCTTGACCCTCCTAGGCTGCCTTAACATTCCTCTATAAAAAAGGGAAGCATAAAGGGATGGCTCACACATCCATACATGATGCCTCCTTTGTTTTCTTGATTTCTGTGATTTTATTTGGCCAAACTGACCTGTCAGCTGAGAAAAAGTGACAAAACCCAGGAGTTCAGTGAACAAATCACACACCCAAGGACCACCAACACTTCTGTAAGGACAATAACCGTGGGGGCTGTGCCTGGGGACAGAGAGCAGTCACCCTGCTCTGCCTGCAGGGGTGCAAAGCAGGATGCTGGGCTTTGTGAGCATGCTAAAGCACGCTGATCATGCTGAGACAACCTGAGCAAGGGGCAGCTGCTCTGTCGCTACTGCTGCTTCATTAGCACCCAGAAWGCAGCAGGCAGAAGTTCAAACTGCTGATAAGATACTGACAGGGATTTTCCCCTCTGCTGTTTCTGGGTCAAACTAATGAAATAATTAAACTTGTTTGAAAACTACTTATAATACAAATTTTAGAGCTTGCTTCTAGGTAATCCTTTTCATTGGCCAAAATGCTATATTCCCCATGGCAAACTGCTAGTCCTTGGGGAAATCATCCATTATTGAACTACTATATGCTAAAACTCATACTACATTTCCTCCTTAAAAATTCTGAGACATTGTACCAACTATATCAATGTCTCATTCCCTGCTTCTGAAGATTTAACACAATTTCTGCATTATGTTTAGTTTTTTGGTTTTGTTTTTTTTTTTTTTAAGAGCACAGGTAAATACAACTGGCCCTCAAGAGAATTTCAGTAAAAAAACCACACCAAAAATCAACAAAGAAAACCAGGCCATTGCAAGAATGAGTGTTGAAACCTGCCTCTGAGCCCGGGAGGGAAAACACCATCCCAAGTGGCCTGATGCTCCCTAGTGCTCGCAATCCAAATGACACTGTCTGGGAGTGACACTAAAGGCACCCCTGTCACCTCCACTGTCATCTCCAGCTGCAAGACATGCTGGAAATGAAATCACGAGACCACAGCAACTGAAAAGCATCTGAAGCCCTCCTAGCCTACCATACCTACTGCACTACACTTAAGCATGTTAATGGGGATATTTTTATTTTCTTTAAACTGGACAATCACTAAATTATTAAAAATCCAGATATTGAAATGCACTCATTTATGACTGCATGTGTGGCTCACAGATCTGCTGAGCACACTGCCACCCCCAGGCTACTGCAGGGCACACAGAGGGCACTAACTGCTGCTGCTGAATCAGGAACAGTCTGAGCAACACCCTCCTGGGCTTTCTTCTCTACCTCAAAAATTAGTTATTCTAGCCTGTCTTGTGCTGAAGTTTCTCACAYAGCAGCAGATTTCTGCCCTGCAGAACTTTTCAGCTTTCTCCTTCTCTCCTCATGAACACTAATTACAGCAGCTTCTGCAGTATAATTAGAAAAATGAAAAGGGATTCACTTACCAGGAAACTCTTTCATCATAAATAAACTGTGGAGAAAAGATTTAAAAATAGCATGTTATACACAAAACCACAGTTGAAAACAGCTCATCACCTGAGGCAGCGGACAGAGTAAAGCAAACCAGGGCTCATGGCAATGGTATTAGGCTCAGGTGTATTTTGGCACTGCCCAGCCTTTGAACTTCTCAGTCCTTAGTTTCTCTCACCTAGTCAAGGCAGACAGGTACTCCTTCCCACATATCACTGGATCCTTGTGTTAACCCAGGGTCATTGCAGCCCACAACAGCCATGAGCCAGACGGGTCTGCACTTCTCTGACCCACTCCGCTGTCTCACTGGACATGGCCTCTCCCTGCTGTCTTTCACCTGGACACCAAGTGACCACCCAGCAGATCCACAGCAAGCTCCGCAGCTGCTGCCACATCCTGCTGGGACCAGGGTGTTGCTCCCATCAGCTCAGGSTGACCACCAACCCGGCCGCCTGTAGCTACTGTGACAGTCCCTCTGGCACACCTGCTGATAGATGAGCACTGTGGCTTTCCCAACAGCGCTGCGTGGCCTCCTCGGGCAAGGAATGTGTCGCCTCCCATGAAGGAAGGATCAGTGCCATGGCGAGGGGCACGAGGGAAAGACCAGCGCCAAGGTGAGGGTATGAAGGAAGGACCAGCACTGTGACAAGGAGTGAGGGAAGGGTCTGCATTGGCAGTGGCTGAGGGCTCACACTGGCAGTGGCTGAAGGGCCGCATCAGCAGTGGTGAAACGCCATACCGGCAGTGGTGAGGGCTCACACCGGCAGTGGTGAGGGCTCACACCGGCAATGGTGAGGGCTCACACGGGCAGTGGCTGAGGGCTCACACGGGCAGTGGTGAGGGCTCACACCGGCAGTGGCTGAGGGCTCGCACCGACAATAGTGAGGGCTCACACGGGCAGTGGTGAGGGCTCACACCGGCAGTGGTGAGGGCTCACACCGGCAATGGTGAGGGCTCACACCGGCAGTGGCTGAGGGCTCGCACCGGCAATGGTGAGGGCTCACACCGGCAGTGGTGAGGGCTCACACCGGCAGTGGTGAGGGCTCGCACGGGCAGTGGTGAGGGCTCACACCGGCAGTGG